TGTGTTATTCACACTCCATCTCCACCATCAGGGGTAAATCCCCATGTGTTAAAACCAAATCAAATATGGCAAATGGATGTAACTCATATTCCTCAATTTGGTAAGCAATGTTATGTACATGTAATAGTTGATACATATTCCAGATTTATTTTTGCCACAGCACGTACAAAAGAAAATACTCAACATGTAATTTCTCATTGCCTAGCAGCCTTTGCTGTGTTAGGGTGCCCTATACAGATCAAAACAGATAATGCACCAGCTTATGTAAGCTCTTCTTTTCAACAATTTTGCCAAGAGTTTCAAATTAATCATAAAACAGGAATTCCTTATAATCCCCAAGGTCAAGCCATTGTAGAACGAGCTCATTTATCTATTAAGCTTCAATTACAAAAATTAAAGGGGCAGAATAAGTTCATGACTCCCCAAAAGAGCCTCAATCATGCTTTGTTCGTTTTAAATTTTTTAAACTGTGACGTAGAAGGTCACACTGCAGCTGAGAGACAAATGTCTCCCACAGTAACAGGCCCTTTAGGCAGAAGTTTTGTGGAAAGATTTACAAAAGGCCCAGACCCAGTGATTATGTGGGGCAGAGGTCATGCTTGTATTTTTCCAGAAGGTGCTTTTCGTCCTATCTGGGTGCCTGAATGCACAATCAGACATGGAAGAGATAGAACCGAGATTCAAGCGACTGAAGATTGACCTGGAGAAGCCCCCATTCAAAAGGAAGAGATAACCAGAAAAGACGAAGAGAAACCAGATTGACCCAGCCGAAATGCTAATTTCATGGGAAGACGTGAAGAAGCTAACAACACAGGCTTCCCGAATAATTTGACTCCTAGGAAAAAACAGGACCCCAGTCTTGATGGTAGCGACAGTAATTGCCCTGCTGGGCTGTCAGGTAAAGGGGAACCAGACAGACATTTACTGGACATATTTCCCAGATCCACCCCTGGTATACCCAGCTGTGTGGACTGGAGACTCTATTCCAGTGTTTACTAATGACTCATTCATGATGGGAAGATTTACAGATACTCATATTACTCCCAATCATGTGACTAGACTTAATTATTCTGGCTACAGTGCCCAATTACCTTTGTGTTGGTCCCACGATGCTGGCTGTCTGAAAGTATCATTTGAGGAAAAGACAGTGATTGGTAGACCTAGACTGACTAATTATTCTATTTATGGAGACTTAAAACATTATACTAGATCAGTAATTAAGATGGGACTTTCCCATAACAAACCAGTCATTTCTGCAAAACCTCCACGAATACCCCTCTGTCCAAATAGTTCTACAATTGAGATTGGCACCTTTCCTAGATGGATTGTGTAAATACCCTTCCCGTACAACATAAGGTGTCTAAAGATAGTGGGCATATTTTAGACTGGTCTCCAAAAATTGATGAGACAATTACGAAAAAATTCTGCTATGACACCTGCAGGATTTGTTAGTAATATTTTGACTTACAGTGAGGGTGGTATACAAAAAGATGTTTGGCGCTTAATTGCTGCCTCAGAATTCTTACATTTTACAGACAAGCCTTTACCAAAATTTGTTGGCAAGAACTGTAAGGAGGGATCTTGCTATGGCTTACAAGCCTGTGTCCAATCTCCTTACGTTTTAATTATTGGAAATGTAAAAGTTAAATGGATAGATGACAGATATGTTGTTACATGTAACAAATGTAACCTAACCAATTGTATTACTAGGTATAATGGAGGAAAAAGGAGTGCTGATACTTCATCAGCCCTCTTTTGTTTTATTACCTGCTAATATTTCAGAGCCATGGTATGCTGATGCTGGTTTACAAGTCTTACAGCAAGTTCATGCCCAGCTAGCAAGACCTAAACGTGCTATTGGAATTATAATTGTTGGTGTTTTGGCGTTAGTTTCTTCTATTGCATCCAGTGTTTCTGCCTCTCTGACATTGTCTCAAAATATTCAACATGCAAAATTTCTTAATAATTTAGCTCAAAATACTTCCAAGGCTCTGCGTAATCAGTATTGATGAAAGGATTGAGACTAAATTAAATGCCTTAGAGGTGACTGTCATAGACATAGGTAATGAACTTTCAGCTTTAAAGTTTAAAGAAAGGTTTAATGCCATGCAAATTATAAATATGTGTGTGTTAACAGCTGCCAAGTGCAATGATTCTCTCTGGGATTGGGAGAAGGTTAAAAACCATTTGTTAGGTATTTGGCAAAATAATAATAATATCTTGGATCTTTTGGAACTTCATCACCATATCCAAGACATTCAAAATAATAGAGCTGATTTTTCGGATCCTTCTTTGGCTAACCAAATATTAAAGGAGTTAAATGGATTTAACCCTGGAAATATTCTTAAACACTCGGCCTGGTACATTATTAGATTGTTCTCTTTGCTGTTAATTCTCTTTTGTGTTGTAATTATAGGATGGCGAGTCTTCGGAACAAGAATGCAGAAACTCGAAAGAGTGAACCATAGCCTGATTTTTAAGAAAAAAAAAGGGGAAATATGTGGGAAGCCATTCTCGCAGGTGATTGGGCACCTCCCTGATTGGGTGTGAGGCGTTCTGGCTAAACTGTGTCAGAACTAATCCCCACCCTCTCTAGGTGCGAGAGCCCATCCGTGTGGGGGTGTGACTGACTATTGACCCTGAGACCAATCACTGACCCTGACCTTGGAATGCTGTCCCCCTCGACCTTCATTGGATGGAATTTTCCCCTGAATTTCTTGTTCCCCAATAAAAGGCCACTCCCTGGCATGCTCTCTCTCTCTCTCCTGATAGCCTTTTGTGTAACCTCGCTGTCCCACCGGGTGGCTCGAGGCAGGAGCCCGAGGGAGAGCCATCTCAGACCTGGTCAAAGAAAAAGGTAAATTGAGTTTTGTGTGTTTATTTTGATCTCACTAGTTAACTTCTATGCTTCGAACCTCTAGTATGAAGCCAGCATGCTGGTCGCATGGTGGATCCTAGAATGCACAAACAGAAAGTGAGATAGGAAAAATAATTTAGAAATCTGGGCTATTTAAAGATTATAGCAGTTATGTGGGATCTGTGTTTTCAGAAAGATTCTACAAATCCAGATTCTATTTTTCACCTTATAGTTTTATATAATCATCCAAATTGGAAACCATCTTTGGTGTATGTCCTTGTAATTTGATTACCCTTTGGAAAGAAGCTTGTTAGCAGCCATATGTCATGACATATGAAGCTTTAATAGACCTTTAAAAATTGGTTCCTTCATAAATTCTCCAATTTTGTGTGGACAAAGTTAAAGTTCTGGATTTTTTTTTTCAGTACTAGGGATTGAAACAAGGGGTGCTTTACTACTGAGCTATACCATCCCCCACCTTTTTTTTTCCCCCTGAGACAGGATCTTGCTAAATTGCCCAGGCTGTCTTTGAATTTGCAATTTTCCTGTTTCATCCTCCTCAGATTGGGATTACCAGCATGTGTCATCATGCCTGGCTAAAATTTGGGATCTTTATGGTTTTTCAAAAGAAGCTGTTTTTTAGTCCATTTCTGTCAAAAACTCTTCAAATGTTAAGTCTTGAGGTTCCCCAAATTCAGGAGAAATTTAAAGGTGTAAAGTCAGTAGGGAAAATTTTATTTAAAAACATCTTTTTAGGGTATCTTTTTTTGGTTGTGCTCTTTTATGAACCTGTTCTAATTTCTGTTCTGCAGTTACACCGAGAAATAACAACTCAGATTTGGAGGTTAATGAAACAGGGATATTCAAAACTTTTCATTTTGTAATGAAACCCTAGTTGAATGTCTAATTCATCAGTTTAAATTACCATATTCCCATTAAAACCTCCTATTAAGTTAAATTTAGAAATATCAAAATATAAAAAAGATGAGGAAGGGATAGGAAAAGAGCTTGCTGAGGAAAAAGTATATTGTTATCTTTGATAAAGCCAATCACTTTAAGTATCCCCCTCATCTCCTTGCCTCCCCAAGTCAAGCAGACACATTTACAAAGTGAATGCATGCCAAGCAAAGTGGTGCAGACCTGTAATCCCAGCGGCTTGGGAGCCTGAGGCAGGATCTCAGCCAGCCTCAGCAACTGTGAGGCACTAAGCAACTCAGTGAGACCCTGTCCCTAAATAAAGTATAAAATAGGGTATAAAATAAAGTATAAAACTCAGTGGTTGAGTGCCCCTAAGTTCAATCTCCAGTACCCCTCACCCCCAAAAAAGTAAATGCATGAGTTTTTCAGGGTCTCATCCTGAGCTGAGTTGAAAACTGCAAGTTTCCAGACTAAAAAAAAGTGACCTAATATTAATCAGCCATAAAGAACAACCTTATGACATTCACCAGTAAATAGGTAGATCTGGAGACTATCATGCTAAGTGAAACAAGCCAATCCCAAAAAAGGTCAAATATTCTGATATGCAGATGCTCACCCACAGCAAGGGGTGGGGAGGGGATGAAGTACAGTTGATTAGAGGCTGGGGATGTAGCTCAGTGGTAGAGCTTGCCTAGCACATGTGAGGTGCTGGGTTTGATCCTCAGCATCACATAAAAATAAATAAAATAAAATAAAGGTATTGTGTTCATCTACAACTAAAAATAGTTTTTAAAAAAGAAGAAGAAGTTCAATGGATTAGTCAAAAGTGTTGTGTCCAACTATATCTAAAAAAATAATAATAATAAAAATAAAAAATAAAATAAAACAAGCTGGGCACGGTGGCACACACCTGGCTCTGGAGGCTAAGGCAGGAGGATCCAGAGTTCATAGCCAGCCTCAGCAATAGCGAGGTGCTAAGCAACTCAGTGAGATCCTGTCTCTACATAAAATACAAAAAAAAAAAAAAAAAAGAAGAAGGGGGTTACTGGGGGTGTGGCTCAGTGTTCAAGTGCTCCCGAGTTCAATCCCTGGTACCCCCCCCCCAAAAAAAAAACAAGTTTAACAAAAAGTTTAATATGAAAATGTACATGACCTGATTTTAATGTCATAGTTAAACAGGCCCCTAGGAGAGAGGGCATGGATTTCTCTGCTGAACAGCCATTATTTATACTTGTTCCAAGCCTTCTAACACAACAATACTATTTCCTTGTGTTGCCATCATTTCAATATTGTTCTGTTCCACTGATTGCCATTTCCACAATGCATCTATCACAAGATTCATAAAGGGATCAAATCCCAGCAATATTTCTTGGACATGTCTGCCACCATTTAATTTCTTTTCTTTTTTATTTTCTTGGTACCAGGGATGCTTGACCCCTGAGCCACGTCCCCAGCCCTATTTAGTATTTTATTTAGAAATAGGGTCTCACTGAGTTACTTAGCGCCTCACTTTTGCTGAGGCTGGCTTTGGTGATCCTCCTGCCTCAGCCTCCCAAGCTACTGGGATTACAGGTGTGTGCCATGGTGCCTGGATTACTATTTAATTTCAATGATAACTTCTCATCCATAATTTTTTTTCAGCTTGGGAGGGTAAGCCTAGCTCATGTTGTCTATCCGGCAGGCTCAGAGGCTCAGAGATACTTTGAAATTGAATTGGCAGCCTCCTTCATGTTCACAGTGATTCAATTATATTCTGACTTGGAATTCTATGATTTCTTTCCATGGATGATTAATTAAGTATCCTCTCCCTGGCATTTAGGTTGGGCCCCTACATACACCTTTAATTTTCTTTTTTTAAAAAATAACTTTATTTAATTAATTAATTTTTATGTGGTATTGAGGATCGAACCCAGGGCCTCACATATGCTAGGCAAGTGCTCTACCACTGAGCTACAACCCCAGCCCCTGTACACCTTTGCCGCAGTCCGGCTGCAGCAAACTAACCGGGGGCTGACGAGCAACTTGTGTAGATTGATACAGCAGGAGTGGGAGCCATTTATTGTAGGACAGGAGGGGTATATATACATTCCACACAGCTTATCTTAATTAACATAAACTAGATACAGCAGTCAACCAATAAGGAATCTCCACACTTAATGGCTTGCTGGCGTTACTTCACAAACCACTCCCTCTGGCAAAATGCCAGGCACCATCTTGACTTGTTTACAGACCCTAACGCACCTTTAATTTTCAAAACTAAATATATGAACTCAAAGTTATACTTATCAATGAAAACTTATTAATGAAAACCTTATTAATGAAATGTTATTTAAAACATTACTAGGAGGTAGAATGACTTCTTTAAAAAATTAAACCCCAGATTTATTTTGTTACAAAAGGAAATGTTTAAGTATTAGTAAAAATATTAAATGGGTCTCATTAATGTATCTAAAGAATACCACATTGTACACTGTCTTCCAGAGGTAGGGGGGAAATATACATTCTACACTAACTTTTCAGATGGAATGGGTTTAAGTTGTTCTCAGTTCTATCAAAAAATGCTCTTAAATATCTTTTGAAAAATTCAATTGGGGGCTGGGTTTGTAGCTCAGTGGTTGAGCACTTGCCTAGCATGCATGAGGCACTGGTTTGATTCTCAGCACAGCATATCAATGAATAAATAAAAATAAATGTCCATAAACTTAAATTTTTTTTTTTAAATTTCAATTGTACCAGGGCACAATGTAATCCCTGCAACTTGGGAGACTGAGGCAGTAGAACTGCAAATTTGAGATCAGGTTTGGAACTTGGCCAGACCCTGTCTCAGAAAAAAGTAAAGAAGGCTGGGGATGTAGCTCATTGGTAGAGCACCAATCCCCAGTACTTGAAATTTTTTTTTTCAGTTGTAAATTCTGATTCCCTTAAGTATCCCCAAATAGTAAGTGGTAAACAATGAGTTTGTTACTTGGGGCACTATCTTTCTGAATTGGATCAAAGTTACTAAAATGTAATTAATTTTATTACATAAAATGTCTTTCATTGTTGCTCCTTTGTAGATACATTTAATAGATGGAGAGAAGTCATCATCCCCCACCCCCACCCCCGCAAAAAAGCCCAAAAAACTTAAAATTCAGATGAAGGCAGAAAAAAATACAAAACAAGTGTTTTGAGTATTTCTTTCATTTTAACCTAAACTTTGTGTATATCTCTGGGTTTGATTGTGGAATCAATCCTACCTCACCCCTAAATACACATGTTCAAAATGAGACCTTCCAAAAAAAAGAATATAAGAGCTGAAAGAAAAAACTACATATTAAATACTTGCTCTGCTACATAACCAAAATGTTTCCTTCACTAATGTATTCACTTGAGTTCAAAGGAATGTTAAAATTTCCTATGATTTTTATTCCTAAAACATAACATACTAATACTGAGCAAGGTAGTATCATCACAAAGAAATGATCAAAGGACTTCAATTGACAGTCCTCAAAGATGCAATACAAATGACTAATAATGCTCAACATCATTAGTCTTAGAAAAACATAAATCAAAGTCACAATGAGATCACTTCATACTCTCTAGGATATGGCTACTTTTAAAAAAAGAATATAAATGTTGGTAAGAATATAGATATTGGAACCCTTGAGCATTGCTTGTGGGAATGTAAAATTGTGCAGTTTCTGCAGAAAATAGAGTGGCTCAGAACATTAAACAGAATTACCAAATGACCCAGCTATTCCACTCCTGCCTATATATTCCCCACAAAATTGGAAAAAATTAATCAGATACTTGTACACTAATGTTCACTGAAAAGTAAAAAGTTGGAAAACAACCCAAGTGTACAGTAACATATGAATGGATAAATACAATGTGGTATAGCCATATAATGGAATATTATTCATCTATAAAAAGGAATGAAGTTCCCATACTGCTGCACAACGTAGACGAACTTTGCCAGCATTCTGCTTAGTAAAGTAAGCCAGTCACTAAAGGACAAATATTGTATGATTCCACTTATATGAGGTAGCTAGAGTAGTCAAATTCAAAGTCAGAAAATAGAATGGTGGTTGCCAAGGACTGGAGGTGTGAGGAATGGAGTGATTGTTTATTGAGTAGTTTCTGTTGGAGATTAATTAGAAAGTTCTAGAAACAGTGGCGATGGTTGCACAACCTTATGAATTTACAGAAGGCCTTTGAATCGTATACTTCAAAATGGCTAAAAGGGCGAATCTGATGTGTATTTTTGCCAAGAAAAATACATACAGGGAGTCACAATTTTTAGAAATTCTGGCGTGCATGGGAGAGGACAAAAAACACACTCTCAATGCAATGCACCGGTGATGTAAGGGTGCGGCAGAGACGGGTAGTTTGTTCAACCAGGTCAGCCGGCCAGCTTTCTGAATTCAAAGCTGCGTCAATTTGAAATATCAAGAGCTAATAAGTTGCCGACCTACCCTATTTCCGTTTGTGACCAAGAATATCTTTCCCTTGAGAGTTTCTCAAGTTTTGCTTTTAAATATATTCTAAAGGTGCTCATTGTATTTACTTCTATCATCTTTAATATTTCAACTTTCTGTCCCCAGCACTGTCGGGGGACCAAAAAGAAACAAAAACACCCCTCACATTTCTGAGACATCACACCCCCAATCGCACTGCCGATGTGAACCCGCTCGTCGGTGCCAGGAATGGCTTCTTGTTTCGGGTGAAGTAAAGGTCAGGGTGAATTTTGTTCACAAGTCACATTAACGCCCAAATATCATCACCGCCACTAAAACCTGGGCCTAGGACAGAGGGCGGCTCTCAGAAGCAGGTCTCCCAACACCCAACTCCACAAGTAGGGTTCCTCAACCTCTGAAACGGATACAAGGTCTGTTAAGTCTCTGGGCCGCTCCAAAGGATTCTGGGAACTAGGGGAGGGACCAAGGAGCACAAACGAAAATGCTGGCATAGGGCGTGCAGCGGATAGCTGTAGGATTATCAGCCAGTTGCTGTGCACCTTCTCAAATCTTCCGAGCACCACCACCACTTCTCCAACAGTAGGCCCGCGCCCGGCTCTGCCTTGTCAGCCAATCATCGGGCTGGTGCTTGTCCATACCGGCCAATCCGGAACACGTTTACTTTGAGCGGGAAAAGCTCAGAAGCTGAAGGAAAGCGAGGTCGGCTAACCGCCCCTTCTTAGCCCTGTCTCCGGCGGGTAACAGCCCCCGGAGGCGGGTGCCCATTGGCTGGGCAGCGGGCCAATGAGGGGTGCAGGGTGAGAAGTGGGCCTCACAGGAGGAGGCGGGGCGCGGCCGGCCGGTGCGGGGTCGCGTGCCGGGTCGCGAGCCAGGGGCAGACAATGTAACGGCCTCTTCCCCGCCCCACCCTCCCGGCTCCGGACCCCCCACAGACCGGCTCCAGGCAGCGCCCGGGGCGGCAGTGGTGGGGTGCAGGCTGAGGGAGCTGGGCCTCGACGCCCTCCCTCACCCGGTACCCCAGGAGCCGTACCTAGTCCTGGAGGGGCTGGGGGTCCCCATGGAGGTGAGAGACGGAGACACCTGCCCTCCCCCTCACCCCCAAGGCCTGAGGGAGGGATTTGAGGTGGTGACGGGCGGGGCTCCCGGGGACGTGGGGGCGGCCAGGCTTGGAGGATGGCGACGGCAGGAGAAACTGACGGGCTGGCGCGTCCCCAAGTGTGGTTCTTTAAGGAGGCTGGGACCACCGGGAGAGGGTGGGTCGCTTGTGAGGAGCACCGACGGGACGCCGGGTCTGTGCCGCCTAGCGGGGTGGGGGGTCCGGGCGACAGGGTTGGCCGGGGCGAGGAGTGCCTGCGTGGGCTGAGTAGATTGGCAGACTGGGTCCGGGGTCGCTGGGATGCCCTGGCGGGGCCCTGGTGGTGACCTAGCGCTGACGCCTTGAACCCGTCGGGTGGCACAGACGCTGGGGCAGGCTGGCGTCGTGGGCCTGTGAGGGTTATTGGTGCGGCGCAGCGGGGCTGGCACACAGGGGGCGGGAGGGTGAGGGGGAATCCCGGGGACAGAGCTGGGGCACCGAATTCGTGTCCCTTGAGAGCGTTTGGAATTGAGTTAGTTGAAGAATCCAGATGGAACAGTCATCTGGCCGTTTAGGTCCTGGCTTTGCGCTGCGTGATGACTTTCTCCCATGTCCTTGTTTTCTGCAGCCTAAAGTAGCGTTCCGTGGAGGTGCGAATCGCTGCTGGAACCCCACTGTCGACACCAGCAGCAGATTATCCGATGTATTCAACAGCGTGATGTTGACTGGCTCCACTTCCTTCTATGATTGCTACAAATCGCAGGTCCATTAATAACCCCAACCCTTGGTTAGACAATTCATTCTAAATCAAATTCATGCACCCAGGCTGATTCATTGGTGTTTAAATGGCTCCACAGTTAGGACCAGAAAGCCGGTTACAACATTTTAAATATGCAGAATACATACTTAGGTGTCTTTTTTTTTTTCTTTCTTTCTTTTTTTTTTTTTCTTTTTTAAGCAGGGATTGAACCCAAGGGCATTTTGCCACAGAGACACATCCTAGCCAGTTTTATTTTTTCTCGCTAAATTGCTTAGGGCCAAAAAAAAAAAAATAAATAAATAAATAAATAAATAAATTGCTTAGGGCCTCTGAGCTGGCTTTGATTTTGCGATCTCCTGCCTCAGCCTCCCAAGCTGTTGGGGTTTCAGGCAGGCACCACCGTGCTCAGTTCCTACTTAACTTTGAAAATAAGGTCAGGAATAAGATTTTTTATTGACTCTTGTTTCCATCTTGTCTTCAGTATAACATGACATCAGAAATGAGTTAATACTTATTAAGACCAAAGTATACATTTTTCATTTCAAAGAATTTATTGCAGGGCTAGGGTTGTGGCTCTATAATAGAATGCTCGCCTAGCACGCGTCAAGCATTATGTTCGAGCCTCAGCACCATATAAAAAGGAAATAAAGATATTGTGTGTCCACCAACAATAAAAAATAATGTATTGCAAATATATTTCTCATTTCAAACATAGTTTTAATCATTTAAAGGCGAATTTTTCTTTATTCTTTTGTTTTGACAGTGTCCTTAGTTACATGCTACTACCTATGACATTTATTTTTGTTAATGTATTAAATAAGGCTTAGGGTAATATAAGTCATGTTCATTTGAAATTATTTAACTGGGACATCAATGTTGGTGTTGGTATTATACTTTGAATTATAACACTATATCAAAATTATTTAACCCACATTACAACCTTATATAGTATTATGCCCACTATACAGATTGAGAAACTGAGGCACAGAGATTTTTGTCCTAAATGACAAACCCCAAGTGGAACCTAGCTCCAGACTTCTGCTGCTCTCTGTAAAGTTTACAATTCTATTAAAATTTACTAGGACTTAATTTCAATGAATTATTTTAAGTATATCAGTGATATAAAGTGATACATTTTACAGTTACCCTAATATGTCCACCCCAAATATTTGCATATTTTCAGTAAATATTTTAACTGAAAAGGATTCAGATATTTCAAATAAAATTATGTTTAAATCCACATTATCTTATTTGCTTGTTTTATCCAAGAATACAAAAGTTAAATATTCTTTTAAAAGGATTTAACTTTTCTTTCTTTTTTTTTTTTTTAATATTTTAGTTTTCGGCGGACACAATATCTTTGTTTGTATGTGGTGCTGAGGATCGAACCGGGGCCGCACGCATGCCAGGCAAGCGCGCTACCGCTTGAGCCACATCCCCAGCCCCAAGGATTTAACTTTTCTAACTTTCAGAACTTATATACTCCTCTCCCCTCCCTGCTTTTTTGGAGGTGTTGGGCTCGAACCTAGAGCCTTGTGTGTGTTAAGCACACGCTTTACCACTGAACTAAATCCCCAGCCCCAGAATGTTTCACAATATAAAATATACTTGAAGGATAATACAAAATATATTTAATTCCATACAGCTAAAATATGTTAAGGAATTAACTCAAGGCCAATCACAAGATAAACACACATAAGTGTAGCTATCATTATTATTGTTATCATTGCCATATTTATAAGCCCACTTTAACAAAACTTCATTTCTGCTAATATATAATATATATATTTGTTATTACACAAACTGAAGATGCTCCATTTGTTTAAACAACTATTCATATTTACTTGTTTATCTTTTTTTTGTTGTTCATTCATTCATTCATTTGCAGAACTGCAGGTTGAACCCAGGGGAGCACTCTACCACTTCTTGGCCCTCCCCGCTTTTTTTTGATGCAGGTTCTTGCTCACTTGGTGAGACTCGCATCTTACTTTTGGCTCCTGCCTCAGCATCACTAGGGATTACAAGTGTGCACCTGTACCTGACCCATTTTTAAGTTAAAAAGCATTTTTTAAAAAGATGTATGTAAGAAGAACCCAAGGCCTTGCTCATGCTAGGCTAAGCAAGCACTCTACCAGGGAGCTACTTCCCTAACACTTAAGTAACTGTTTCAAAATGATAAGCAAGTATTTGTCACTTTTGACAAATAACCACTAAAAAAGATTCCAAATAGGCCTATGATAAAGAGATAAAGGAGTTTAGTTGTAGATGGACACAATATCTTTAGTTTTATTTATTTATTTTTAATATTTATTTCTTAGTTGTAGTTGGACACGGTACCTTTTTTAAAAAATATTTATTTTTTAGTTGTAGTTGGACACAATACCTTTATTTCACTTATTTATTTTTAATATGGTGCTGAGGATCGAACCCAGGGTCTCGAATGTGCAAGGCAATTGCTTTACCACTGAGCCACAACCCCAGTCCCACAATACCTTTTTTTTTAAAGAGAGAGAGAATTTTAATATTTATTTATTTTTTTTAGTTTTCGGCGGATACAACATCTTTGTATGTGGTGCTGAGGATCGAACCTGGGCTGCACACATGCCAGGCGAGCGTGCTATGCTTGAGCCGCATCCCCAGCCCCCTACAATACCTTTTGTATTTTATTTATTTATTTTTTATGTGGTGCTGACAATCAAACCCAGGTCATTGCACAGGCTATAGGTGAGCACTCTACTGCTGTGCCAGAACCCCAGCCCCGCAAAATTTAAAATACCTTGATTAATAAATGTGTCTTTTCTCCTTGTATAAATTTTGATTAGACTAAAAACAACTTAAAATATTTTTAACCACATGCAGTGGTATGTTCTTGTAATCCTAGCTATTCAAGAGGTAGAGAAGGAGGCTCACATGAGCCCTGGAGTTCAAGGCCAACCTGGACAACACCTCTTAGAAAAAAGAAAGCAACATATACACATTTTTAGTGGCTGGGAACTCAGTGGCAAAGTGTGTACAAAGGGCTCACCCTCAGTCCCTAGTACCCAAAACACCCCTGCATCACATCAACACATTTTTAGCCAGAATTATATTACTTCTGTATAAGAAAATACTGTTTCCATTTTGTTTATGTCAGGATGTAGATATTACATCTCAAGGTTTACTATTCCCTTATTTAAGGAGTTAAAAATTGTAAATCTGGGGCCAGGTTGTGGCTCAGTAGTAAAGCACTTGCCTAGGATGCGTGAGGCACTGGGTTAGATCCCTGGCACCACATAAAATAAAAGTATTGTGTCAATCTACAACTAAAAAAAAATATTTAAAAAAATTGTGAATCTGTTCTTTCAGACTTTTTTTTTTCCTCCTTTCCTTTTTTGCAGCACTGGAGATTAAACCCAATACCTTGCCCATGCTAGGTAGGTAGGCAAGTGCTGTACACTGGGCTGCATCCCCAGTCCACTTTCAGACTTTTCCTCCCCTGTACTAGGGATTGAACCACTGAGCCCCATATCCTTAGACCTTTTTAATTTTTTTTATTCTTTTTTTTCTTTTTAATTTTTGGGATAGGGTCTAAGTTTTAGGGCCTCACTAAGTTGCTGAGGCTGGCCTCAAACTTAAGATCCTTTTGCCTCAGCCTCTTAAATCACTGAGTTATAGGCATGTGCCACTGTGCCTGCCCAGCCAAACTTTTGTAATGAAGCATTTTTTTTTTTTTTTTGCTTGTTGCTTGTTAAATTCATTGAATTTTAAATTATTTTCACAGCACTTAATACCTTTTGGAAGGAGGCAGAATTTTAAATAATTTATTAAACTTTTAAAATCCAAACTTTTTATCTTCTTACTCAGTTGACTGGAAAAAGAAAAATGAGTTTGTAGAGAATTTTTCTTCTAATTGAGCATTAAAATTTCTGTAGAGATCATGACATTTTATTTATGACTTCATTTTTATAATATCTCTTGGATATAAAAAGTAAGCAAAAAAGTAAAGATAGCTATATAAAAGATCCTTGACTGAAAGTAAGAAGAATTAGAGTTTTGGTTTAATTTTATCCTATATTGGTTGAATAACTTGTTGCCATAGTTTCCTTGTTTTTGAAATAGAAATAATACTAATACACAAGGTTGACTAAATATAATAGTGTATGTATAATTTCTTTGAAACTCAAAAAATTCTCTATAAATGTACATCTTTCACAGATTGGAAGCATTGAGATAAAATTTGTATGGTTTATTTAAAATAATACAGTATCATCTACAGATCTGACCAGTACACATTTCTATAAAGTTTTATTGCAACTATATATTTGCTAATATATAGTCTGTGCTAGAATAACAAAGTTAATGAATTTCAACTGAAATCTTACTGACCAGCAAATCCAGAATTATTACTCTTTTGGCCTTTTACAGAAAAAGTTCACCAATGTCTGGTATAAAGTAAGGTTAAGGGCTGGGATTGTGGCTCAGCGGTAGAGCGCTCACCTAGCGCAGGTGGGACCCAGGTTCGATCCTCAACACCACATTAAAAAATATAAAAATAAAGGCATTGTATTGTGTCCATCTACACCTAAAAAAATATTTTAAAATATTTTAAAAAATACTTTTAAAGTAAGGTTAAGTAGCTAGGTCTAGATTTGAAAGTAATTCTCCAGACTCTTAACCTGTGTTATTATAAATTCTTCTATAATATTCTATAATAAACAATGTTTGGGCTTTTTCTTTCTTTCTTTCCCTTTTTTTTTTTTTTTTTTTGGTTATTGTTGTAGTACTTGGGATTAGGGATTAAACCCATAGTCTCATATATGCTAGGCAAATGCTGTACTACTGAGCACATTCCCAGTCCTTTTACCCGTTTTTTTTTTTTGAGACGGGGTCTTGCTAAATTGCCCAGGCCAATCTCCAACTTGAAATCATCCTGCCTCATCCCAGGTAGCTGAGAATGCACCATCATACAATGCTATAAACAAAGTTTTGATGTGTCTAATATACAAACTTTTCTTTAAAA